GTTACACAATGAGATTAGCCCAAAAGTTCTATCTAAAAGTCTTACCATCATGTACTCTGAAGAGAAAAAGCTCTTTTCATTATCATCTGTTGTCAAAGGTTAAATTGGGCGGGAGATAGATTTATCTTTGTCTTTTGCTTATTGGGAGTAAATGGCTTTGCATTTAGTGTGAAGTTGAAAAGCTTCATTGGGATTTGCAGGCAACCCTACTGCATTCAAGGTAGGCTGACACTGGCTTCTCCATTCTGTATATCTAGATGCTGCAGGGAATGTCCCCCAAGATCCTTCCTTTCAAACATTCTTCATTGATTTGTACCAGCAGGATGGTACTCAGTGGTGAAATCATACTCCTATAAATGATCTGGTCTTCCAAACTGACCTGGTAGTTTTATTTGTACTATATGTAGACCCACAGAAAATTAAAGATGCTTTAAAAACAATAGAAAAGAAGTGCCAGGTGGTTACCTTCCTATTCCTCAATAGTAAAATAGGGCCAAGAGGCCCTGTGGGTGCTGCAGGAACATCCCCACATTCCTCTCTCCTTCCAGTTCCCTTGCAGGAGTGTAGACAGCTGTGACCTTATAACAGAACACTTGAAAGCATATTCTTAGGAAACTGAGAAATTGCCTGGGATAAGAGGCAAGGAGGAGAGAAGAAAACCCTTCTGGGTGCAGGAACTGTCTCTAACCCTTAGAGGCATTTTCATGGGATTGTCTTATAACTCCATTGTCATGGAAGAGTTCTTTGTAATTAGTGCATCACATAGGGCTAGAAGAGTCTCTTCTTCCAGTCAAGGCAAGTGACTTGGGCAATAGAGAAGACAGCTTGATGAATTGCAGGCATTGTTTAAAGATCGAAAAGAATTCTGATTTATCAAGTAGTGAGGATCAGAAAGTACCAGAGTAGCTAGGGCAATGGGAGAGCTGGAACAGGTTCAGGTGTCCATCCTAGGCAACAGGCACCATTTGAACAAGTTGAAGAAGAGATGAAGGGACTGTAGCCTGGGAATCCTGGTTAGCAGAGATGCAGAATGCCTAACACCTGTGCTCCTACAGAGGACTCCACAGTGATCAATGAATGGGCAGATTGAAGAATTCCTCAGAGAGAGATCTTGCCAGGTGTGAAGGGATTTGCATGTCAAGAAGGAGTTTGTGAGATTTTTGTATATGACTAAGGGGTTTCAGCTTTATGTGTAGGAATAGGCTGCTGGAGGGCCTAGAAACCGCCATCCCTGGAGAATGTTCTTGCCCTAGTGCAGTGAGACAGATAGGGGCTCATGCCCTTTAGTGGGCTATGTGATCTTGGACAAGAAGCTATCCCCTCTGAGCCTCATGTCTATAACATATCACCTATTTTACTTACTTAATATGAATGATACACAACAGTGTTTTTAAAGAGTCTGACACATAGTAGCTATCTCTACATAGGTGCCAACTATTTTTACTATATTCCTGTAGTCATAGCATGCCCTACTCCTGGTATTGCTCCTGTATGTCTCAGTATCAAGGATTGTGGTGAAATATAAGTATATTCATTCAGAGAGACTTTGTCTTGAGACTCTGTCTTCAGTGTTTTTCTCTCTGGTCTCCTGAGCATGAGTTACAAGTCCAAACAGCAGTCTTTCCAAACCCACGGGTGCAGTAGTAAGACCAGCTTGTCACTCTTTGTGACTCTACTTCTCTTCCTCCAAGGCTCTGTGACACCTGCCCTCTTGGGAAGCCATGTCCACTTTATCTTTAATCGCTCCTTGTCAGGGAAACTTGTCAGCCAAGGTTGCTTTCTGTCACTTGATGCCACATCTCTTCCTGGTTCATTCTGTTGGTTGGAGACATTCATTTAATTGAGAGCCTGATTTTACAGAGAACAGTGCTTCAGACACTCTGATTCACTGTGGGAGGTCTGGCAGGGCTTCCTGCTTCCATGTCCTGCTCACCAGCCCAGGGTGCTAGTAGGCTTCTGCATGGCCACAGCTGGGTGGATGGGGAAGGTGAGGATGCTAGCCCCGGAGCTTCCAGCTGAGCGTTGCTGGGCTGCAAGAGCTTTGCCTTCCTTGGTGGAAGATCCTCCACAGAGCATCATTTCAGGGTCCCATCAGTTTCCAACAGAGTCTTAACACGGAGGAAGATGAAGACTTGCTTTGATTTTTTTCAGGTCTGGGTGCCAGTTTAGATCTTCAATGTTCTGCCACATATGACTTCCCATTTGATCTTGACAACAGCCCTAGGAGGACCAAGGGGACAATTTGTAGCATGTCATCGAGGATCCCTCTTTTGGAAATGAATAAAATGAGATTTAGAAAGATTACACACCTGTCAGTGAGAAAGGTGTTGGGGTTTTGTTTGTTTGTTTTTAACCACAGTGTAGACTCCGTGTAACAGCCAAGTCATTTCAGGGCTATTGGGTAGAGGAGCTCTCCTTCCAAAAGGCTCTGAGAGAAGTCAGGTTATCTCTGCCTGGCCAGTTCCTGGCCCTTGATTCTCCTGTGCATCTCTCCAGAGGTCTGCATTCTGCTTATTCACCTTCTGTCCCAGCCTTACCTATGTGTCCTTCTCACAGAGGCGTTGCTTTTCAGATCCTTTTTAAAGTCCTTTTTCTTTCCTCCTGTCCCCAGCCTCCTTGTAGGGATGCCTGAGTGCTCTTTCCATTTACTGTTCAATGGAGCCAAACCTCTGTCTGTCCCTTTGGAATGAATTATTATCATCCATTAATAATTAACCTCTACAAGGAGTGCTACTCATAGGCATTTCACCCAAATGCAGAAAAGGCCAAAGTCGGCTACGACAGAGAGCTCTCACATGCTGAAGCATAATAGTGGGGCTTAGGAAGAAGTTCTGAAACTATTTCCTTTCTGGTTCACTCACTTGAGCATCTGCAGTTTCCCTTTGTGCACGGCCAATCCCATGGAGCTAGAACAAGAAAGCTGGATATGCCTGACATTCCACAAAGATGACAATGAGCTTCATAAGCATTTCCGAGGAGGCCTCATTCCAAGTGTGGCTTCTGGAGCCAACTACCTGGGTCTGGTCCTACTCTGTGCATAGGGACTAGTTCCTCAACTACTCCCTGTGTCTACTTTTGCATCTGTAAAATGAGGGGATGGTTATAGGTATCCCAAGTGGGTGTTGTCAGGACTTAATGGGCTGGCGGGTGATAAATCTTACCTATAGCACCTGATAGTAAGTGCTCAATAGATGATGGAATCATTGTTATTCTCAGTGGTATTGATGATGGTTAAGTCCACTGTCAAGTTTACATAATTAGGGAAGCATTTTCAAAGCTTTGTCATAGTTATATAGCCCTCTTGTAATCTTGTAATACCTAGCAAAAGGCAAACATTTTAGCTTGGTTCTTTCCTGGTGATGGAAGAGAAAAGGGAAATTGTTCTAGTTGGGTGTTAGGGATCAAACGATATGAACTGAAGGGAGTCATGTGATTATTTTTCTCTCACAGAAATAGATTGTGAGACTTATTTTGCTTCCTAGACCTTGCTGTGAGACTGAAAATGGAAACAATAATGCAGGCTCCTCAGAGGTGTGGAAAGAATGAAATGAGATTAAGATAACCAACACTTCTTCCCAAGGAACAGAGGCCATTGTGCCCTTACTGTGTGCTCTTTTTACATGGTTTATGTGCATTAAATAATTTCATTCTTACAAAATAGTTTACCCTTATAGTCCCATGCCCAGAGGAGGAAGCTGACCTATAGAAGTCATTTTGCCAAAGATGTCTAGCTTGAAAATAGTAGGCACTGGGTTTAGACCTAAATCTGGGTCCTGACTTAGAATTTGAATACGATAATGGAAAGGAAATAACAAGGGGTTACACACTAAACCCCATTCATGGTTTAGTCCTTTTGTCTTTTGGCTGTCAAAGATCAGAAAACTGAGACCTGTCCCAGGGTGCTATATCAATAAGAGTAAATTATCGATATATTAATAAGAGTAATAGGTATATTAATAAGAGTAAAAATTTTTGAAATTCTGATTTTGGGGAACAGGATGAGACTGGGTCAGGCATCCTCTCCTTCCCTTCTTAGTCTCCCACGCTGGACAATGGTCAGGAAGGTATGGTCAGGAAGAATTGTGCTGGTGCCTTGGGTAGGATGTAGGGGCAGGGAGCCCTGCTGGACCCCCTTCTAGGAAAAATCACGATGGGTACAGTGTTCTGTCATTTCTGACTCTCAACTAAATGAATGTCCCCAACAGACTGAACCAGGGTTTCAGGCTATCTCATTATAATACCACACACTCAATGTGCAAAAATCATGGATCCTCTTCTCCAAAAACTCATGATTTTTTTTAAAAAGAAATGTATGCAAATGATTTTAAAAACATGAAACAGGAAGATGCTGCAAAAAGTAAGTCTCTCTCCCAATCCAATTCCCAGGGACAACTTTATAGTTCCTTGTGCTTCTTTTCAAAGATATTTTATGCTTATATGAACATGTATAATAACTCTCCCCATCCCTCCCCATTTTTATACAATGGTAATGTAATTCTGTTCTGTTTCTTGCTGATTTCATTTAATGATATGACTTGGAGGGCCTTCAGGTCAAAGCCAGAAGCAATATCTCATTTTAAAGGCTGCATAATATTTCATTATAAAGACGTGCCATGTGTTATTGATGGTCATTTAGGTTGTTTCTGATTTTTTACTAAGGATTCAGTAAATATCTTTGAAACAAAGTGTTTATATCCATTCAATTTAATCTCCTGTGCAAGTAAAACTTGCACACACATGTTGTATAACTTTCTGTCAATACAAGATATTGGCCAGAAGGAGAAAGACAAAAGAAACATCATGGGAATGCAGAGGACTATTCAGAGCACAGGTGCACCCCAGATATCTCTTTGGATGGGTTTTGAGGGCTGTGTCTCATGTTTCAAACCATTATGTCCTGAAGCCTCTTCTTGAATCTTTGTTCTGGGTGCCCAGTGAGTGATGGATGGATGCTGCTCGTAAGATTGATTCATATGGCACATTTGTTTGGCTTTTGACAGGTTGTTTATAAGAATAATGACATCCGTCTGGAGCTGTCTCGTCTGGCACGGATTGGGGACACAAAAATGAAAATCTATGGTGAAGTTGTGTTCAAGTGTGAGAATGTGGCCACACTGGACCCCATCAACTTTGAGACCCCAGAGGCTTACATCAGCTTGCCCAAGTGGAACACCAAACGAATGGGCTCTATCTCCTTTGACTTCCGCACCACTGAGCCCAACGGCCTGATCCTCTTCACTCATGGGAAGCCCCAAGAGAGGAAGGATGCTCGGAGCCAAAAGAACACAAAAGTTGACTTCTTTGCTGTGGAACTTCTTGATGGCAACCTGTACTTGCTGCTCGATATGGGCTCAGGCACCATCAAAGTGAAAGCCACCCAGAAGAAAGCCAATGACGGGGAATGGTACCATGTGGATATTCAGCGCGATGGCAGATCAGGTAGGGAAAAGCCAGGGTGTGTGACTGAGGATAGAGGGCAGCTGTAGCAATGCAGTTTTTCCTGGCTTTATTATTATTTTTTTAATTTTAATTTTTGCATTTGCAGGGTTGTTGATTTTTTGTTTCTTCTCTTTAATGGTTGTAGTAACATTGTTTTTGAACAAAACACCTTCCTCATGGATGCCGCACATTCTCCAGCTCATCTCCCTTGCTCTTTCAGGGACAACTCTAAGACCCTGGAACTAAGGATAGTTTTACAAATAGCATCACCCCTCCTCCCAAAGCAACTGTCATGTCACTGGTACAGTATTTCCCCCTTTTCTTCTCCTTCTTTTTCTCATCACCATGGGAACCAAGTGTGACATCACAGATGCTGCATTATGGGATTATTCTGTAGGATATGCCTCACTGTGCAAGAGTTTATGCAAAGATCCGCCCTGCAATAATTGGCAAGAGTCACATTGCAGGGAGAAATTATGACAAGAAAGGAAAAGGCAAATTGATTTTTCCTGAAGTCATGTTCAATTTAAAGCCTTCCTTTGGTGTGAAAGCTTGTATTTTACCCTTTGCTCAGACCTCACTAACTCTCTCTTCCTCTTCCTAACCTTTTACATTTGGTTTAAATGGTTTTGTTTGTTTCTGCAGCCGCAGATCAAACAACGTAGCCCCAGGCACTACATTGTCACTCTGGAACAGTAACAAAGGGAGTGGGGGCTGGGGGGCACTAATAGAGAGTCTGGGGTTTTCAAATGACTGAACAGTCTGCCTAGCTTTCTAGGGACCCTGTGGCAATGAAGGTCACATTCTGTGCTATTGGAAAACCAAAGAGCAGTAATTAGAGCATTTGAATTTCAGACTCATTTTCTGATTTCCCATTTAGGTAGTATATACTCCTGAGGGGTGTGGCTACATTTTCCATATTTGTAGGGATTCATCCTCCTGTGCACATAAGAACAAGTCTTCATTTGGATATTTTCTCTCCAGGTTACACTTGGCGAGCAAGAGGAAGTAATAGGGTCCCCAAAATACGGAAGCAAGAAATGGCTGAGTTTTGGTAGATGCTTTTCTGTACAATTCTAGAGGTAAAGGGATGGCAGAGATAAGCAACATTACCCTTAGGAGGAACAGGATGGGCTCTGTGCAGAGGGCAGACGGGTGGCAGATTGCATGTTTTATTGCCCAGTAGGAACCTCTATCGATTGTCTAAAATCTGATCGGAATCAAGAGGCTTCAAATTAAATGTGCTTGTTAAGCAAGAATGAAGCGTTTGTGCTTTTTAAAGAGAAAAAGACACACAAAAATAATTTCTTTGGAAGCTAAATCAATCCCTCTCTCAAGTTTATCAATAATAAGTGAGCAGGGTACAGCTAAAATTGTCTCAAAATTATTATTTTATTATTTAAATTTTTATTGTAATTTGTTATATATGACATCAGAATGCATTACAATTCATATTACCAAAGTTATTTTTAAAAATTCTTTTAAAAACCTACCGCTATTGGTTAAGGTCATATGTGAAGATGGGTCATGGTGGATGAGTTCTGTGTGCGACTAACCTTGACACAGCTTCAAAGTTACCTACTTGTGTCACATAGGCCTGAACACATCAAATTGCCATGTGTTTATTTCTGTTCATTTCCAACACTAATTGCTGTTTCAAATAGGATAGCTTTTCTTTTTCTTTTTCTTTTTTCTTTTTTTTGGCTAGGAACATCACAGTGGGCCCATCTTTGAAAAATATATTTGGATTTTAGAAGCCTTGAATTTTTTACTTGGCAACTTACACTGTTGGGTGATTGTTTGAATCTGATGCATTTGATCAAAGAATATGTATATAAGTAATATATATAATATTAATATATATATATTTATATAAGTTATATATATAAGTAAACAAATAATCATCCTAAGAAAACAGTGTAACTTAACACTTTTATATGGCCTGTTAAATGTCATTTCTTCACAAAGATGTTTCCTAGTAGGCTCTTTTCAGTTACAAACCTATGTGAAAGTGAATATTTACAAAAACAATATGGACCTCCCTGAGCATTCTGCAGAATATGACTAGGTAATTTAGAAAAACTTATATGATCGTATATTCACATATTTATATATGTACACATATATGTATATATGTGTATATATATATATATATATATATATATATATATATATATATATATGATATTTTATAGTCTCCATTGGGGAAGTGAGTCTTAAAAACTGACAAGAACATTCAAAAGAGTTCTGGCAGCATACTCAGGGGACAGATTTTCCCCAGCATGTACTTAAGGCATGAAATTTTAAATGGATTCTAGTACTTATTTGGCAATAGATGTTCCTCCCTTTTTGCTGGTGATCAGATTATATTTATAGGCATGTGGAAGATAAAAAAAGGAAACTGTGCAAGAGAATGTAGTAAGAGATACAAACTTCAACTTCCTTATTTGTAACATAGAGAAAATAATATATCCTAGTTCACGATATTGTTTTCAGGGTCAAATACAAAAAAAAATGTACATAAATGGGCTGAGGGTGTAGCTCAGTGGTAGAGCATAGCACTTGCTTTAGCCTGTGCCAGGACCTGGGTTTGGTCCCCTCAAATAAATGAATAAAAAAAATAAAAACAAAAAGCACACAAAATACTTAAAGTGATAACCAGGACATTATAAAGTCAAGGCACAGCAGAACACCTCTAGGATAAAGGTGGGGAACAGATTGTCAGCTTACCCCTGCCCACGAGGCCCCTCAGTGTCCTTTCCATTCTACTGTGGTGTTGACTTTGTAATTTCGAGCACATTTCACGTTCTTGATCTCATTTGATCTTCTGAGCCTTCAGGATATACCCTTCTTAGCTGAGGGAATTGAGACTCAGAGGAGACTGATGTCAGTGAAGGCTGACTGATGGATCCTACAACCCAGGTATCTTGGTACCAACAAAGCACTTCAAGAATAACAAATACATTTTTTTTAAAAATTGCTGGTAGCATTTTTAGATATCACCTAGTACATTTTCTTGATTTTACAGTTCAGGAAATTAAGAGGTAAAGGGTTCAATGACTATCTTAGGGTCAGAAAAACATTTAGGACTAACATCCTTGTTCCCAAATTCCCAGGTCAGGCACTAAGTTATACCTTCTAAAATCTCATTTGATGGTGGCTATAATCCAGCCCTTGCCTGGGTCTTCCTATGTCCCTGGCCTCAACTCCTGCTCCCTCCCTCTTACCTCCTCCTCTCCTGTCACACTCCTTCCTGCCTCAGGCCCTTTGTGTGTGTCATTCTATCTGCCTTCCATGATCTCTACCCCTGGATTTTCTCAATACTAGTTTCAGCTGTCACCCACCTGGGCAGGCCTTAAATTAGAACACATGGGCTGCCACCTTGTACCCATTTTACTCTCTTCATAGCACCTGCCATTAGTTATTTTCTCTTGTGTACTGGACTACTTATTTTGTGTCTGTGTTCTGTAATATCAACTCCAAAGAGAGAAAGGCTATGAAGGACAGGCTCATCTCTGTGCCTAGAATTATACAGACGCAGAAGAGATGCCCAACATATCTGTATAACACGAATAAAGAAACATGTTCCAGTTAAAAATTACTAGTGGAAATGTCCCAAATATTCACTGGCTAGGGTGGTAGTTGAGGCCAGTCTAGAGTGTACCACTGCATGGAGGGGGAGGCAGACAGGAAGTCCCATCCTTTGGGGGATGGGGAGCCGGTGAAGAGGATTCAGGCAAACACAGAGCCCTTATACTATTCCAGGGCCTATGAGATGCTTTCCTATAAGGATTAACTTAGTTAACCATCACATCAACCTGTGAGGTGGGGAAAATCACTTTCCCATTTACAGGGAAAACTGAAGCACAGGAAGACAGCGTCCCTTCTTCAAGGTTCTACAGCTCATGTGTGGTAAAAGCAGGGGTTTTAACTCAGGCAGGAACTCTTTTTCCCTCACTTGATTGATGATGATGATGATGATGATGATGATTCTTCTACCTTTCAGCCAAGCCAGTTAGGTAGTGAAAAGATCTACTAGAGGTTAGGCGGTAGGATTTTTCTGGTCTCCCTGGAGGCCTGGTTGTCTTAGGTGGCAGGGATGGGAACCGAATGACACCATCCTGAAGCATGCTGTTCCATCGCTTGCATGGCTTTCTCCTGGTCAGGCAGTGATGGTCTGAGAACCCACCTATTGGGCTTCTCTCATTTGGCTTATCACCTAGCGTGCTCACCTGAGATGCAAAAAAAAGCACCTTTAACTCACTCCGGATGTCTTCCTACCCAGGTACCATATCAGTGAACAGCAGGCGCACGCCATTCACCGCCAGTGGGGAGAGCGAGATCCTGGACCTGGAGGGAGACATGTACCTGGGCGGGCTGCCGGAGAACCGTGCTGGCCTCATCCTCCCCACGGAGCTCTGGACCGCCATGCTCAACTACGGCTACGTGGGCTGCATCCGCGACCTGTTCATCGACGGGCGCAGCAAGAACATCCGGCAGCTGGCGGAGATGCAGAACGCCGCGGGCGTCAAGTCCTCCTGTTCACGGATGAGCGCCAAGCAGTGTGACAGCTACCCCTGCAAGAACAACGCTGTGTGCAAGGACGGCTGGAACCGCTTCATCTGCGACTGCACGGGCACTGGTTACTGGGGAAGAACCTGCGAAAGGGGTGAGTCAGCCTTCGCAGGTGGCATGCTCCAGTCCAAGTGGAAATGGGTGTTACAGGTGTATCCCTGGACAGCCCAAGCCTTTGTTCCACCTGCACTCTTCTTCCAAATAAGAATTTTTGGGTTCACTGGTTTCCAGAACACACCATTCTAGTTCTGAGTGCCTAGCATCATTTGGCCAGAGTTAGATAGAAGAAAGAAAAACTTTAAAATAGATATTATTATACTCATATGTTTTTTTATTAGGTATCTTCTATTTAGAGAGGATGAATCTTTCTTCTTTGGGATTCCAGGAGAGCCAATCTGCCGGCTGTTTCATTTATTCCGTGTTTCCTGAATAGTTTCTACATGCTAACTCCTGGGCTAGGCTTTCAAAACAGAATATCAAACAAGATGGATATATGCCTATCCTTACAGAGCTTGCTGCCTAGTGGAATTAAATAACCAATGATAAACATGGTGGGTTTCATAAGAGGTGGTGTGATGGATGGGTAGCAAACACACAACTTTGGGGCCAGACTAGATGAGAAGTTTGACCTTTATGGAGTCATGTGAACCTCATGAAGGAAATAAGTATCTCTGAGACTTGATTGTCTCATTTGTAAAATGGTGGTAGTTAGGTACCACCTCACCAGATATCAATGATGATCTGATTTAATAGGTTCCTAAAATATGGTAAGCATTTAACAACCACTAGTGACTCTTTGATGATTGTAGTTATTATATCAGCTTTGTTATTATTGTCAACTTCATTGAAGTAAAGTACAGAAAAGTTCTGGAGACCCTTGTAAGAACACTCAATGTACTATAGGGATCCAGATAAAACTTGTTCAAAGAGAAAAAATACCTAAGTTAAGAGGTGAAATATGAATAGCGACATTAGTGGCCATGTAAGGTGTGTCTTTGAACTCACCTATGCCAAGGGCAATTTAATGGGAGTTCATCCAAAATTTGCCAAGTACAATGAAAGTCACTGCTCCTTTTACATTGTCACTTCTGACTAGTCATTAAAGGGCAGCTGATTGGGGATATATATGCCTTGGCAGAGAAGTGGCAGGAAGGAGTGTGATCTAAACAGGACAGATATAAGAGACGTGGTGGTATTGAAGAACTGAACAAAGTCCACAGGGACTCCAGGCTTTGTTCCTTTGTAAACAAAATCCATAATGAAAAGGGGACCCAGAGAGATAGCTAAACAGGTAGAGCTAACCCTTTAGAACAGGCCAGAATACTACAGAGAGTCCCTTCTACTTACACTTAAGTATCTTCCATATGCAGTGAATACAGTTTGGGCAAGAAGCAGAGATAAAGGTTAGCAAAGGAATGACATCTAGCCAAGGAGGTTCAGTTTATAGACCACATTCAGATTGTAGCTTGGTCTCTTATTTTTATATGCCCCCAAACACAAAATCAAGTTGGCTATCCATGGGCTGTCAGCTTCTATATTATATGAAAGTATACTTTACATAGTTACCAAATATTTGCTGAAAACATAGCTCTAGATCTTTAAGGATATGGCATCTACAACAGACATAGCTCCTACCTTCAATGAGCTTTTGCATGTAGCTGAGATATCTACACAAGAAGCAGTAAGACAATAATTCAAGGCAGCATCTTAGGCTGTGTTGGTGGACAAGCAGGAGGACATGAAGATTAAGATGAGAGAAGAATTCTTTGAGGACCTATAGGATCTTCCTTCTAAAGACCACCAGTGACCAGAAATTGTCCATGTATCAGAAGTCTAGTAGTCGGGATGATCCTGATTGGTGTTTCCAAGGAGTGGTTTCTATGAGGTCAACTGTGTTACTAATTAACATGTATTTCAAGAGATGGCAAACTTTATTTTTTTTTAAAATATAATTAGACCAAAAACAGATACAAGACATTAGGATGAAATGGAAGCCTAGAACTTTCTTATAGTTTATGGAATTTAAATCCAGATTCACTGCATTGTCAAAGCAGCAACAACCAGAACATGAGCTGAGATGAGAGGCAGCCATCTGGAATAGAAATAGGCCATATGGGCCTCATAAGTCTGTCAAGTGCCTGGACTCTTTCCAAATATCTTTGTAGGGTAGCATACCCTGGTGCTGGTTTGGGAAGATAGAAAGGTCATTTGACCTCTGAATGTATGAGACTTTTGATGTGAGCTTAGGTATTGTGGATATTCCACCATCTATGGAAGTGGTGTGAGAAGCAAAGGTCACCTCAGACATCTCACTTCTTGCTCTTGTATCTCTGCTAATCGGAGGACTTGTGGTTGTTGGAGGCAGGGAGGAGCAGCGACATTAGTGGCCATGTAAGGTGTGTCTATGAGCTCACCTATGCCAAGGGCAAATTAATGGGAGTTCGTCCAAAATTTGCCAAGTACAATGAAAGTCACTGCTCCTTTTACGTTGTCACTTCTGACTAGTCATTAAAGGGCAGCTGATTGGGGATATATGAGGGACAATTATTCTTGGTACAGTGAAGCCAAGAGTCATCCATTCTGGCCAAATGAGAAAGAGCTTAGCAAATTTAAGACATTTGATCTATATATCGCTCAAATCCCAGACGGTTTGGCTGATTGTTTTGTTCCCCCGCTAATTGTTTTTTGCCCCTGTATTGTTCCTGACACCATGTTCAGAATGAATCAGTGGAGTGTAAAAATGATAGGACTCCACTCTGCTAGCAAAGAAAATAGAGCTTCCCAATGACATTGTTTTGCTCTTATTGAAACTCATTCCTTAGTGGAGATTTCCGTGGTGGAGACTGAGCATCTTTTAGTCATTTTTCATATGGATGAAGACACTTATTGAGGCCTAATATATTCTAGGCACTATGTTCAGTGTTGGAAATACAAAACAACAAACAAATAACAACTACAAAAAAAAGTCAACACTGTTCCTACTTGTTGTTCAGGGGTGTTTGGTCCTCTTAGAGAAACAAAGAAAATATTCAACATGTGGCAGATGTTATGGTGGGGGTCTCTAGGGAAGATGTAGGGCAAAAAGTGGAGTGGCCACTTCTACATAGGGTGTTGATGTTAGGGAGAAGGGGATCCAAGGTTTCTTGGCTCCTATTTCTACAAAACTATATGACCTTTTCCTTCTTTAGGTCTTCAGTAGTCACTACGGGCATTTCTGGTGAGTGGTAGAGGAAGTGTTTGGCATCCTCTTTTTATCCTTTGGATGAAGGGATGCTTTCCCACCTACCATAACGTCAACATAGTCACTTTGTTTACCATTGTTTGCTTTTTATCCTAGAAGCTTCAGACTTCCTTAGTACTAATTGTGATGAGTTTAGGAAAATGCCCAATACTGTGTGCCCTGCAGAGTTGAAAATTTTGGAGTTCATGGGTTAAAACTGGGTTTCAGAAGTGGGCATGGCTTAGGTCAGATCGAGGTGAAAAATGCTCAAGGACTTAAACAAGATTAATCTAAGGAACAACTAACTCTCAGGTCAAAGTTGTCAGCCAAAGATAAAAGAATAAGACTAGGAAATACACTGGTATTTGGACTAGGATTAATTAGCATGAGTATCTTTCTATTCCGGTAAAACTGAATGACTTTTTGCTTCTTCCCTCCTAAGAGTGCTTTTTCTGCCTATGAAGATGAACAACTCCATATCTTCTATTTCTGTGTTTATGTACATTTTTAACACTTTTATTATTACAATGTAGTTACTTATGATGGTTGTGTTCGTTTTGACATAGTCATATTTGTATGAAATGTAATTTGCTCCATTTCAGTGCCCTGTGCCACCTCTTTCTCTCTCTTCCTCCGTTCACCTATTCTTCTTCCTCTACTTTATTGGTCTTCCTTCTATTTCTTTATCTATTTTTAATTCATGCTTCATATATATACATAAAGGTGGAATTCACTGGGGTATATTCATACATTCACAGCATAGTTTTGTCAAATTCATTTTGCATCTCTTCCCTTTCCTGTTCCTCTTCCCTCCCCTTCACTCTCCTTCTACTCCACTCATCTTCCCTCTGTCTTTCTGGTATCCAATCCCCTTCACCCACGTGTTTTTCCCTTTGCTCTAACTTCAATGTGAGAGAGAAAACATTAGACCCTCCATTTTTTGAGGCTGGCCTATTTCACTGAGCATGATGTTTTTTCTTTTCACCCATTTTCCAGCAATTGCCAACAACTTTAAATCTTGACATCTGAAAAATGGACTTGATATTGTATTCAGATTCTTTTCAGTGTGACCTAAGAAGATGTAGAGGTCTCTACCCATCCTGATCAATTAGTTCTATAGCTACTATGGTGTCCTTTTCATGGTGATGTGGGAACTAACCCCGTGATCTAAAAAGCAAAGTTCTGTTATAACTACTTAATGCTAATTAGTTGAGTTGAAATGCTTTAATCTTCTGGAAGACCACCTGCTAGTCTGTGCAGTTCTGTTGTTCGGAAGGTATTGTTGAGTTTGTTGTTACTCTTTTCTGGGCGTTTTCCTTCTCAAGGAAGTACAATCAACTTGACAGTAGACAACGTAAGCATATTATCCTTGGCAATGTAGCCAAATTGTTTAGTCCAATTAGTGAAAGTCCCCATAGGGGAAGTGTAATGCTTGATTCATTTGTGGACCATCAAGCTTAAATTAGAAGCTACTTCAGATTTTATACTCTTCCCTGTATGACTTTTTCTAAATGTATATGGCATTAATTTGGCAAGAAAGTAAATAGGACTCAGCACAAGTCCATCCTTATGTCAAAAAAGAAAAAGAAAACCCCATGGTACAAGGGTTATAGGCAGAATGGGACAATGGTTAATAGCATGCATGGCATTTGGAGTTAGACCTTGATTCCTATTTTACGTCATAGCAAGATGATGTACGATAAGTACATATTCTAAGTCTGAATTCTCTAATCTGTACAATGGAAGTTCTATACTTACTCCATCTAAAGTATTCCTTGATGACAAACTATAGACTGAACTATGGCTAATATCAAGGAAGTAGATTTACTGGATGATTACCTGGAAAATTTCAATCAAGTGAACAGAGAAGCAGA